AGTGTGGCTCAGGTAGGAATTCTCATGTAGGAATATTGCTACCCTCAGGTGCTGCTCTTAAATCTACCTCCAAACTCCCAGAACTTCTCCTGCAAACCTGTAACCTTCTTTCATCCTCCTCTGCAGCTCCAAAATGAACCATATCATATCAAAATGAATCATGTTTTCACTCCATATCATCTTTAGTACCTGCTCTGTTATGCCCCCTCCCTTGTCCCTAGGAGACTTATCATCATAACTCGGCTTATGGATGCGGCCACAGAAATGCCTGTTCATTGCTCCAACTGTGTATTCTCGGATTACCAGATAATTCCTGCCCATTGCTCTCCTATCTTTTGGAACCACTTGCTCTACTATGTACTGGCTTTTCTAATGGCCGCTCTCCCCCAAATCGCTGGGCATTCAATGCTGCATACCCATTTACCAATTCAAATTTCTTAGGGGATCCTTACACTACTTTCTGTCCACTCTTCCTATCACGGTGAACGTTGACCCACTTCTCTTCCACGCTAACCCTCTCCGTCTGGTGGGTGATTATTGAAATCCCATAGTGTGCGTTTCAGGAACCCATCCGCCTCCTGTATATGACGGACATAACATACAAAACATCCCAAATCCTGCAGCTCCACACTGCATGGTCACTAGATACCTGGTCAATCTCACATCTCCTCTAAAAGGTAAGGAACAAACAAAGCAAAATAAAAAAGCATCGCTCAGCCATTGCCTTGCTCCCTGGTCAATCCAGTGGGTCCCATTTTTTTGCTAGCCAGGCTCTCCAACTCATCTCGCTGGTTCCCTTTTCCAGTTCTCCTGATCGTCTATAACGCTAAAGAAATTTACGGCACAGACAAAGGCCATTCGGCGCATTGTGTCTGTCCTGTCTTCCACAAGAGCAATTCTTTCAGTTGCACTTACCTGAACCTTTCCCCGTGCAGATGTAGCTGACACTTTTTAAAGATATTTATCTAACTCCGTTGTGTAGTCCAATACAGATTTTGCCTCAATCACTGCTCCAGTCATGGTTTCCGTATCGTAACTACTATGTGCATGGATACAATCATTGTATTTGGTATAGCGCCCTATCACATTGTCGAGACGTCTCAAAGTGCTTTTACGGAATATACTGTAAAGTGAATTGACTATATTGGAGTCCTGTAGCTCAGTGGTTAGAGCACTCGCCTTGCAAGCGAGACACCTGGGTTCAATTCCAGGCAGGGCGAAACCTTGGGGAAGTTTCCTTACTCCACACGCCTGATAATAATCCCTCCAAAAAACAAAAACAATAATAAATTGGTCATTTTCAATCCACGACTGGTTGTGGGACATTGCTGTGAGCAATTGGCTGCTGCGTTCGTCCACAAAAAATACAGTCAATTCACTTTACAGTGTGTTCTGTGAAGCTCTTTGGGACGTCCTCCCGACGTGAAAAGCGCTATATCAAATGCAAGGATTATTATTATTATTGTTATATTTCTGTGGGCGAAACATGGCAGCCAATTGCACACAGCAGTGTCCCACAAATGTGTATGGATAGAGTAACCACATTATTATTATTTATTTATTAAATGTTAGTCCCAGTATTGAAGCATTTGGCTTACTAGGTGTTGTTTAAATTAGTACTATCTCGGTACTCCATATAAGGTTATATGGCCTCTTATCTACTTTCTCTTATCTTATGCTTCACCCTTTTAATGCTACACAATAATCTCTAATGGTATTTCTAAATACTAATGTTATCAATTTAATTTGATATAAAACAGAACAGCATCAAAATTTACAAACTCCCTACCATGAGGGAGAAATCTAATTATTGATCTCTCACTCCTTTTTAACAATTCTCTTTCTTTCTTGCATTAGCTCCAACATTTCCCACCTGTCTTCTTTTTAAACACTTTTCGAAACACGCCAAATACACATAAGAGTAAATATCAAAACAATTAAGAAAATAATCTGGATTAAACAAAAATTTAGGAGGCTAATCTTACCCAGGGAGACTCTCCAGCATTGTATGCAAACTGCCATCACTCGTTATTATCTAACATTTTACACTTTTTCTCGACATCCATGTCTTGTTTCATTTGTTCCATCATTTGTTGGGATGTTCTACTTCTATCTATGTTGGACTGCAAACTCAGTGACAAAGGTTGTATGGGATGTCCAAATCTCACTACAACTCGTACAACTTCATCTAATACTTTGCCATACACCTGTATCTCGGTAACCATTTGGAGCTTTATACGTTGCATTACTTTTCCATCTATCTTCACCCAGTTGTTGTTAGTTGTCAATCATCCCATTGTTTTAACTATCTTGCACATTTTCTTCCCCTGATTCACACATTTATTTTCATGAGGTGGTGTAACAATATGTACCATTAATGACAACCCCGATGCTAGCACCCCAGGAGGCTACCCTGCGTGAGGGGCACTATATAAATCCAAGTTCTTGTTGTTAGTCGCTGTCCATTTAGATGAACTACCATTCCACATCTACGGGATTCAACATCAGTGGTAAGTTGCAGGTTATTCCTTTAGATGCATTGTTAGCATATATCTATTATTTTGTATTATTTCATTGATCTTATTCTGGGTAATGTTAAGCGCTCCCACAATTTGGGCAACTGATATTAAAGATTGTTGCCCTTCACTTATAACATCTCTCCTAAGACTTGCAACTAGCTGCAGTATTTCCCTAAGTTGTTTAAACATTTTTCACATTACATTGACTGAATGTCTACACAATTTAAAGCAACTCCCATTATTCCTGCTCCTGCCACAATATCTGTCAAACTCCTCATTTTCCTTGTAGCCCATTTTCCTGAATTTTCTACCAAATCTTCCATTTTTCTACCCCAGGTTTCCTGATGGAACACTGTCAGATGGTGTCTGATTATTTCTTGAAACCAAGCTTCATATTGACCATGACACAACCCTTTGGAAGCTATTACATTTATGAAATCAAACACAACGGTACAGCATCGACTGGTACATTCTAATCAAGCTGTTCGTGGGTAGATATCGATACCAATCCATTAGCACATCCCTTGGTAACACTTCCGTAAACCCCACTCTTCAATATCCATATCTATGTCAGTTAAACCATCCATTTATATAGCGGATTGCATTTAGGTCAGTATCGCACAAATCATTGTCATTGATACTCATGGATAAATACCAATGTCCATCGAGGCCCATTAAAGTTGGTGGGTTTACATAGGTATAGTATACCTAGTCCAATGGGCAGTGAATCCTTGAGAATACCATAGTCTTTAAAATGTTATGGTGAACTGTTATTCACTTCAGCACTAGCAAAAACAAAAATCATTTCTTCCCGTGGTAGAGTGAGGAGTTTACCTGATTACCATTAAACACTTAGGTAACAAGCTCGCCCCATGTTCAGGATCATCTACACAAAAGTTCCCTTAACTGATTTGGAGTGTCTGATTTCCTCGACATACCACTCCTGATGATTGTGGGTGACGTGATGAGCAACATGAAATTTCAGCACCTTGGGACGTCCTCCCGACGTGAAAGGCGCTTTACAAATGTAATCTTGTTGATGTTGTTGTTTCTACTCAAAGCCAAATATTTCTTGCAACTCAGAGAACACAGAATTCGTACAATGTGACCCTCGGTCGCTATCTACCTGGAGCGGTAATCCCCAACTGCATAGCACCTCACACAGCAAACTGGCCATTGTTCCTGTAGTGTTACGTTTGCACGGGAACGCCTCACTCCATTTAGTACATTTGTGCATAATTACCCAACAATATTGATAAACCCCTGTTGTAAGTAACGGGTCATGACCCAATAAAATCAATGCGTACGTGAGTCCAGTGTCCTTCCGGCGGCGCTGCTGTTCTCATAAAGGCTCGTAACGTTATGTTGTTAGCAAACCAAGCACTTATGGCATTGCAAAACAGTATCTTGTGCCATTCCTGGGCACCAAGCCGTCCTCCTAATCTTATCAAGAGTCACCCTTGCAGACCTATGACCCTCCCCACCCCCATTGGGTGGAAGTGAAACAGATGATACCTTTCCTCCCCTAACAATGTTATGCCCGCAACCATCATTCATGTACCCGATCTTCCCACATCAGTGGCTTTTGCTCACCGCTCCCCACCAATTTTGTGTCTGTTGACGAATCACATGGTTCCAGCAGAGGTTGACCCTGTTCATACTATGCTCTGACCATCTCATATGGCGGGTAGTCATTTTGTAATTTCCACAAATCTCACTCGTCCTTTGTAATTGTGTTTACCCCATCTTGATATTAAACAATTGTTTCCTTTATTATAGCTCCATAGACAATGATTCCACAAAGAGCAAAGACCAAATCCGCAATACTTGATCATGGCAGCAACTCGGTTTCAGGAGATAGCGTTTGATCTGTTACCATATCTCCTGGGAGAGTAACAGCTGGGAATCGGTCAGATCTGCATATCACACGACACTGGCAAAAATGCCCTCAACTGCACCAAAAATCTGAATCACATTCGTGTGTGTGTTAGCAATGTTCCCACCAGAAGAATGTTCAAGATCTTACGACGATGAGGAGCCATAACAATCCTGACCCAGTTCTGTTCCTCGTACAATAACGAGATAACAATCACACGTATCCACCAAGTGGACTTTTACTCTCTCATTTCCACTCACTTTCACACAGTTGGCACTAATTCTTTCCTTACAGTTGTTTCTGGGGTTGTCACTGAGCGCAAACCGGCTGCTGCGTTTGACGGCAAAACACACACTCGCTCCACGTAAGCGTGAACCCTGAGAGGCGCTTTCAGATGTCCTCCCGATGTGGGAGGCTGTGTATTGAACGTTGGGGAATATTGCCGTTAGTTCAGTTGACTGGAGTCCGTGTTGTAACGGTAACGATTGTTTGTTCAGCCGCCTGTGAGTAATGCCCAGCAATCGAGCAGATTAACGGTCTCGCTGGGGGCTACTCACAACTTGATATAAAGGTCGACGCTCATCAGTGCAAACCTCCGCTTCACCATGAAGAAGTTTCACAGCTTCTCAGAGAAGAGTTATCGAAAGGAAACCATTTTCCAGATAATGTACGTCGTCTACCCTGTCCTCGCCCTTGTCGGCGTGCTCGGTGAGTCAGCGGAGACGCGTTGCTTTGTGATTCCCGGATCACTTCGGCTCTGAATGTAAATGGAACAGATTTGGTGAACGCGCTTCCCAGCCCGAGCGGTTGTCACGTCGACACCTTTATTCTGATGACACTGGATTTCTTTGCAGTAATCTTGCTGGATTGTTGTCTGTACAATGCAGCAGACATCCATTCAGTGCTCGTATCAATGTTTATTGAAATATATAGTTAATGTCCTTGTTTTGGGCTCCCGTCACCTCCCTCTCACCTCAGTCGCTGACAGCATCAACCTTCAATGAATGCGCACTTCTCACCAAGTGTTTGTGGACATCCCGTCCCTCAGCTGTCATTCAAAGCTCACTCACTCAGATAACCCCACTACCATCGCCCCCACAACTCTACCCACCTCAACACCTTTACTGCTGCAACCCCACCCACTCAAACTTACAATACGCACACACACACACAGTCACTAAAATCTCATTCACGCCTCTTCAAGTCCAGCCTTGATTGCGCTGATTCCTTGTTCCCTGCACTTCCCAGTTCTTCTCTCCACAGTCTGCAGATTATTCAGAAATCTGCAGCTGGTCACCTCCCGCACAGAACTCCGTGAGCTGATCATCCCCACCCTAGTCCGGCTTCACTGGCTCCTCTTCCCCCAGAGGATCTAGTTTCAAAATCTTCCTTCTCACCTTTAAAGTTCCTCCACAGCCTCGCCCCCCTCCCTTTCTCTGCTAACTCCTCAAACCCTTATTAAACTGGCTGTTCCCATTGCTGGACCAACACTGACCTCAATTTCCCCAACTCCCGCTAGGCTTTCAGCCACATGATGTCCACTCTCTGGACCTGAATTCCCGGGAACTTCTGCCTCGCTGATTCCATCCCCTCTTTCCAGGGACACCTCAAAACAATCTTCTTCATTTTCCCATCGATTCCCACCCTAGACTCAATTGACCACCCAGAACTCTCAGGCTCTCAGTCTTGAACAGTAAAACCAGCACAAACAGCCTGTGCTTGAAGGTTCAGAATGAATCCACGGAAACACTATTTCAGTGAGCGAATAGTAAATCTTTTCGGAAATAACATTCTGGGATCCAGTAAATGGATAGATCGGGACATATATTCAGGCGACGGCTGGGATGGTGGAAGACGAACTAGATGGTCCTTAGTCTACCATTTCTTATGTGCATGTATAAATTGTGCTAAATGTGATGCAATGTCTTATCACATCTAAAACGTCATATGATTTACTGTGAAGTGGAATGACTTTGTCCAAAGTGGCAGCCAGTGTCCCACAAATAGCCTTGAACTAAGCCATCAATTTTATTTGGGAGATTGTTGGACAGGACACTAGGAGAAACCTCCTTTTCTTTTCCAAAGCCCTGTGGGAGATATCTACCACCCACCTGAACAGGCAGACAGGTCCTAGGTTTAATGTTTTATCTGTCTCTCCCCCTGTCCCTCACATTGATTATCTCCCACCTCCAATCCTCTCTCTCACACACACGTACAAACTCTCCATCTCTCAAACACTCTGACAGTCTCTCGCTTGTGCCACGACCACCCCCTTCCCCACTGTGCTTCTTATTTCTCACACACACATACTCTGTCTCCTCTCTCCACCATCTTCCCCCACTCTCTTCCCATCTAACCCTCCTCTCTCTCCCCCTCTAACTTCCCGCTCTCTTCCCGTCTAACCCCTCCCTCCTCTCGCCCTGCCTTCACCCCTCTCTCTCTCCCCCATCTCTCTCCTCCATCTCTCTCGCGACACTCTCTCCCCCTTCACGCCCTCTCAATCCCTCTATCGCCTAATCAGCCAGCTGTCAATCACCTGTCAAGGAGCAGTAGCTGGCGGTTGATAAGGAAACAGTTGGTAAGAGACGCGCTTGCATTCCAGTAATGGCCGGTATTATTTCCACTCCCCCTCGTTGCATCCTCCCAACTGCCATCTCCTGCGGAGACGTTCCCCAACAAGGGAGGGAGTGAATGTTGAAAATGGTCTTGGGCTGGATATAATCACACACTGGGCCAGCTGTTGGACTACCTTTGAAAAATATTTGAAGGACGGCACCTCTGACAATATAACACCCACCAAAACTGCATTGGAGGGCCATATTAGATCATGTGATTCCAATTCGCGATGTGGGGCTTCAAGCCACAACCTTTTAACTCTGGGGTGAGTGTGCGAGTGACCGGCAATGACACCCAAAACCCAGATTGTCTTTCCGGGGTGAACACGGGTGCTTTTGAACGTGACGCATTTCCTCCCAACCAAATCAACAAGTTTGTGCTCTCTTGCTTGTGTCTTACAGGTAATTTACTGACAATCGTCATCCTGTCCAGAGGAAATTGTGGACTCTCCAAATGCATCACTCGCTATCTCGTCGCCATGGCAACAGCAGACCTGTTGGTGGTAGTTGCTGACGTGATATTAACTCGGATGAATTTCCTTTTCTACCCTGTTTGTTTCCTAGATCTCACGCAAATCTGCGCTCTAGGTACAAGTGTGCAGTGTGTGGCTGCGGACTGCTCGGCCTGGCTGACTGTCGCCTTCACTTTCGATCGTTTTGTGGCCATTTGCTGCCCGAGGGCCAACACCACATACTCCACCAAGAGGACGGCTGCCGTGGTGATCGGGGCAATCTGGGCAGTGAGCTGTGCGACCAACATGCCCTGGTACCTGGCCTTCGAGCCATGGTTCGTGATCAGAAAGGTATCGTGGTTCTGCAACACCAAGGAGAGCTTCTACACTTCCCTCGAGTGGGCCGTGTTCAACTGGGTTGACATAATTCTCACACCATTTATTCCATTCTGCCTGATTTTAGCCCTCAATACTCTGACTGTCAGGCACATTGTGGCCGCTAACAAAGTTCGCAGAAGTTTGCTGGGCCACAGCAATGCGGGAAGCACCGACTCGGAAATGGAGAACCGGAGAAATTGTGTCATTTTACTCTTCGCTATATCTGGCAGTTTCATGCTGTTTTGGAGCGCATACGTTGTCTACATCATCTACGGGCAAATTGTCAATTATTACTACACAGATTACAACCATCCGATCTACATCCTCTATCACACAGCCATAATGCTCCAGCTTTCAAACAGCGCCACAAACACGTGCGTTTACGCCGTCACACAGACGAAATTCAGAGCAGAGGTGAAGAAGGCAGTGAAATACCCCTTCCTTTTGATGATAAAACAGTTTTCACAGTGAGAACGCACTGTCCGGGTCTGATATGCTGAAAAGTTTTCAGCTGCTAGCAAGTCAAAGTATGTCATTTTGAACACTGCTTCAATGATCATTTCCAGGTTTTAGAACCAAAGAAAATAATAATCTTCCTGGAGTCCGACTTTGTGACCTGGAATCCACTTTGAATGGCTTGCAGAGAGGCAAGTAGCTGCAGCTTAAACTACGCACCTCCAATTTGTGGAACCATCGCTCAATGGCAAGGGATTGTAGAATTGTTCTCACGCATTTCATGCTGAGATGCATTGCCCACCAGGAAGCTCACAGGCAATTTCTGTTACCTAAAATCCACCGATTGAGGGCTTAAACCCACGCTTGTCTGATATCAAATGACCAAAAAGTAACTGTCCAAATTAGGATGGGGCAGGGGCGAGGTGGGTGGTTAGTGTGCTCTCTTTGGAGCTGAAGTGGTTCCAAGGTGATATCATATCGGCATTCAGCCAGACATCATTGTTTCACTGTTGGTTAGTGTGTTTAAATTATAATAATAATAATAATAATCCTTGCATTTGATATAGCGCTTTTCACGTCGGGAGGACGTCCCAAAGCGCTTCACAGAACACACTGTAAAGTGAATTGACTGTATATTTGTGGGCGAACACGGCAGCCAATTGCGCACAGCAATGTCCCACAAACAGTCGTAGACTGAAAATGACCAATTTTATTTTTTTTTGGTTTTGGAGGGATTATTATTAGGCTCTGTGTGGAGTAAGGAAACTTGCCCAAGGTTTCGCCCTCTGCCTGGAATTGAACTCAGGTCTCTCACTTGCAAAGCGAGTGCTCTAACCACTGAGCTACAGGACTTGGTACTCCATATAAGATTATATGGCCTCTTATCCATTTTCTCTTATTTTATCTTTAACTCTTTTAATGCTACATGATAATCTCTAATGTTCTTTCTAAATACTAATACGACCAATTTAATGTCATGTAAAACACAACAGCTTTAAAATTTACAATCTACCCATCTTGAGAGGGATAAATCTAATTGTTGATGTCTCACTCCTTTCTAATTATTCTCTTTCTTTCTTGCATTAGCTCCAACATTTTCTTTTAAAATACTTTTCAAAACACGGCAAACACACATGAGAGTGAATATCAAAACAATAAAGAAAATAATCTGGTTTAAAACAACCATTCAGAAGGCTAATCTTACCCAGGGAGACTCTCCAGCATTGCATGCAGACTCCCATTACTCGTGATTACCTAACAATTTACCCTATTTCTCAACATCCTTGTCTTGTTTCATTTGTTCTATAATTTGTTGGGATGTTCTACTTCTATCTATAATGGACTGCAAACTGAGTGACAAAGGTCGTTTGGGATGTCCAAATCACGGTACAACTCATAAAGCTTCAGCTAATACTTTGCCAAGCACCTGTATCTCAGTAACCATTTGGCGCTTGATAGCATCCATTGCTTTACCACCAATCTTCACCAGTTGTCTTTAGTTGGCAAACATCCCATTCTTTTATCCATATTGCACATTTTCGTCCCCTGATTCACACATTTTCATGTACCATTACTGAACCCCAATGTGAGCGCTCTGGGACTCTACACTGCATGAGCGGCGCTGTTGTTGTTCGTCGCTGTTCATTTAGATGCAACAACCGTTTCACATTACGGGGTTCAGCATCAGTGGTAAATCCACAAGCTGCAGATTATTCCGTTAGATACATTACTATCTTATTCTGCGTAAAGTTAAGCGTTCCCACAATTCTGGCAAGTGATATTAAAGATTGTTGACCTTCACCTACAAGTTCTCTCCTAAAAGTTGCAACCAGCCCTGAGTTGTTTAAGCATCTTTCACAATACACTGACTGAATGTTACGCGATGTAAAGCAAATCCCATTACTCCTGCTCCTGCCGCCTTATCTGTCAAACACCTTGTTTTCCTTGTATCCCATTTTGCTGACCTTTCTACCAAATCTTCCAATTTTCTAACCCATGTTTCCTGATGGAATACTGTCGGGTGGTGTCTGATTACTTCTTTAAACCAAGCTTCATATTGACCATTACACAACACTTTGGGAGCTGTTACATTTATAAAATCAAATAAAACAGGTACAGCATCGACTGGTACATTCTGATCAAGTTGTTCTTGGGTAGGTACTGATACCAAGCCATTAGCAGATCCCTCGGTAACACTTCAGTAATCCCCCTCTTCCATATCATTATATGCATGTCAGTTAAAACACTTCGAGAGTGGATTGCCCAGTTCGGCCAGCTTCGCACAAATCATTACCATAATGTCATTTATTTAATATCAATGTCCATTGAGGCCCAATAAAGCTGTTGAGTTTACATATGTATGCTATACCTAGTCCAATGCACAGTGCATCCTTGAGAAAACCATAGTGTTTAAAATATTATGGTGGACTGTCATTCACTTCAGCACAAGCAAAAACAAAGGTCATTTCTTCCGGTGGTAGAGTTAGCAGTTTATCTGATTGCCACTTAGGTAATCCTAAACGCCCGATGTTTAGGATTATCTGCACAAACGTTTCATTAACATGATTTGGAGAGTCCGATTTCCTCGCCATGCCAACTCCTGATGATTGTGGGTGATGTGATGAACAATATGTCATTTCTGCTCAATGCCTGATATTTTTTGCAAATCGGAGAACACAGCACCTGTAAAATTGCATCCTCTGTCGCTATCCACCTGGAGAGGTAATCCCCAAATGCATAGCGCCTCACACAGCAAACTTCTGGCCGTTATTTCTGCGAGGCATCACACCACGTTGATGGGGATCCACATACAGGATTTGCAGTGCACATCCTGCAAGGAATAATAATAATAATAATAATCCTTGCATTTGATAGAGCCCTTTTCACATCTTCTAGATGTCTCAAAGTGCTTCACAAAATATACTGTGAAGTGAATTGACTGTATATTTGTGGGCGAAACGCGGCAGCCAATTGCGCACAGCAGTGTCCCACAAACAGTCATGGATTGAAAATGACCAATTTATTATTGTTTTTTTTGGAGGGATTATTATTATCATTATCGCTGCCTTCAGGAACATGTACGACTTGAACCTCTGTTCTTCTACCCCTTTAGGATTTGCTCCCTTTAAGTTATAGGTTATTCCTCTTGAAATAAAATACTGAACTCCTCAGTACAAATGTGTCCCTCACTCCGTCTCTCTGAAATGTTACTTCTGCACGGGAACGCCTCCACCCATTTACTACATTTCTCCACAAATACCAAACAACATTGATAAACCCCTGATTTAAGTAATGGTCCAATCCCCAATAATATCAATGTGTGTGTGAGTCCAGTGTCCTTCCGGCGTCGCTGCTGTTCTCCTGAACGCACGTAACGTTATGTTGTAAGGAAACCAAGCACTTATGGCTTTGCAAATCAGTATCTCATGCCATTCCTGGGCATCAATCCATCCTCATCATCATATCTCGAGGCACTGCTTGCAGATCAATGAACCCCCCCACCACCCCCCACTGTTGGGTGGGAGAGGATCAGAATGCTAACAATGTTATGCCCGCAACCATCAGTCGTGTACCCGATCTTCCCATATCAGTGTCTTTTGCTCACCCGTCGCCACCAATTTTGTGTCTGTTCCCGATTCACATGGTTCCGGCAGTGGTTGACCCTGTTCATGCCATGCTCTGACTGTATGATATGGCGGGTAGTCGTTTTGTAATTTCCCCACATCTCACTCGTCCTTTGTTATTGTGTTTACCCTGTCCGCGTCTCCCGCATTCCTCAATCCCGAGCTGCTTCGTTGGCTAGTAGGTCTGCCTCACTATTACCCTCTGAATGTCTTTCTGCTTCCATGTGAGCCTTTACCTTTCACAAATATCACAGACTGTTTCGTTGTTTCAAACAACACAGTTCTTGCAGCATTACCGCGTGCACCAAGAGCTTTCCACCAGGTGTTCAGAAAGCATTTTGGTGATACAAGGGCAATAACAAAGTTATATTGATGACATATGCACTAAGTGACCGTACATTAATCAGTGTGTCGTTTGACAATCTTACTGGTGTAAATAGAGCTTCAAATTCTGCACATTGGGCAGAATGTGGCTGACATTTGTACTGAGGATTTCATTGAGGGGTATGAACTGCAAGTTCTTTTTGTGGATCTCCATCAACGTGGTATGATGGCCCATTCACGTATATATGTTCTGCTTCAGAACAATTCTTCCTTGCTCACCAAACCTTTCTCAAAGTCCATCAAGGGCAAAGGACACATATGGGGCATTCCCTCATATAACAACATTTGAGATAATAACTTTGTTTCTTTGAAACCCTACTCAGATTCCAGCTGTTCACTTTTCAGGCACAAACTTCTCTGCAATTCAACATCCTCATCACTTAACACCTGCCTGTCTCTGACTTTACTTGTTTCAAGTTTTCCGACAAACGCTGGACTTTCTTGTCCAGAATCTGTTTTGTAACTCATTGTGCTTTGCGTAATTCTGTTTATATATATATGCACCAATTCTTCTTTTCTCATCTCGCTTCTTTGCTTGAATCATTTCTTGATTTTGCTTTACACAATGCTCCCAACATTTCATCCCTATGGGTATCAGTCACAGACATACCACACACTTCCATTCTATCTGTCCCGGCTGAGTGTGGCAGAATCCAACACCCTGAACCAAGACATTATGGGTTTCACTGGACTCCTTCCATTGCCTGACAGCAATTAGGTTGCGGTTCTTACTTACGTGTACTCCCGACAACATTGACTGAGAAAACACTTTTAGGTTTTAGAAAGAATGCTTTTTAATAAATATATATATTTTTTAGAAAGAACGCTTTCTGGAACCTCCTCTCAGAATCCCAGAAGAAAAAAAACAATAATAACGAAATTAGTCACTTCAATCCACCACTGTTTGTGGGACACTGCTGTGCTCAACTGGCTTCCGCATTTCACCCACAAATATACAGTCAATTCACTATATTCAGTAAATTCTGTGAAGCACTTTGAGACATCTGG